CAAGTTTTCTGTTTCACGGGTTTGGGCGTTGGTCTGGTGGGGGATGGTGGGTTTAAGTCCTTCTGTTGTGTTGTTGTTGTTCGCGCGGGGTGAGGATCTACAGACTTCCTGCGCAAACCCCTGGTTTCAAAGCCCGAGACCGCAAACTGGATCTCTTGCTGTGGAAAACCCTACAGCTACGACGGTGCTAATGACCCTAAGCCCAAAATTCTGCACCGCAAGCATCCCTTTCAAAAGCTGAAAAAGCTGAAACGATCTTGCGCCACCCAACCTCTAACCCTTAACCCAAGCTAAACCCTGTAAACCTGCAAAATAAAACCCCAAGCCCGAACCTAAAGCCGGTTTTGAAGTGCTGGATAAAAAAGACCAGTGGATCTTACGATTCCCCTGCTCAGGGAAAGTCGTACCGGATTATAGCATATAGCAGTATATAACGGCAACAACGGAATACGACTAATATACTATGTCCAGCAGCGCGTAGTTTTAAATCGAACTTAAGGTTCTGAGACTTTAGGCCAAGGATCTATGGTCGAGGGTTTAAGGTTCCTGGACTTCAGTCTAGGAAGAGGAACCGGTAAATCCAGAAACCCACGAACCTCTAATCTGAACTAAACAGTAGCATCCTTATAAGACTCTGAAGGAACATGCCCCGAACTTCCCGAAACGCCCAACTTTTTGCGGCCCAGTTGTCCATAGACTCCAAAACCCCTTAATCAAGGAATATCCCTTAAATCATATTAGGGATCTTATTACAGTCTAAGGTATATTCCTTGATTAAGGGATGGATATCATGAAACCTGCACCCAAAAGCCCGAGACACCCCACGCTGGAGGCTCACGGCCCAAGGAAACTACTGGGCTGAGAGCAACCCAGAGACTCCAATATCCCTAAATTAAGGAGGATACCTTAAATGGTAGTAGGATCCCTAATATGATTTAAGCTATATTCCTTACTTTAGGGGGCTTTGGAGTCTCTGGTAACGCGCAACTCCGTCAAAAGCCCTCATCAAGGTTTGGTTCCCTAAGTCTCCATCTACGCATATAGTAGATACCTAGGCCTTAAAGTACCCTTACAGGAACCCCTTTAAGGCCTAAGTATCTACCATATGGGTACATGGAGCCTTCGAGGTTTAGGGATTAGGATTTAGGGTTCCGAAGATGGCTCGAAACCCTATTCATCGCGGGTGCTTAAAGCCAGAGACACACCAAACATTATCGAAAGCCAACCCAGATATAATCCCTAAAGATCCTACCCTTTCAGGGTTCCTTATTCTGATGTCTTTATATAAGTCCCTAAAACGGTAGGTTCTTTAGGGTCTAGGTAGTCCCTGAAGCATCATTCCGAACCATGACCTGGCATATGATCCGCAAAATCCAAGTCTCAAATTCCCAGAGACTCCAAAACCCCTTAATTAAGGAACATCCCCTAAATCCTACTAGGGATCCTATGAGAATTTACGGCATATTCCTTAATTAAGGAATATACCTCAATTCATATTAGGGATCCAATTATAACTTAAGGTATATTCCTTAATTAAGGGATATTGGAGTCTCTGGGTTCGTCTACACCCCAAACTCTTGTCGTTCTCTGAGGCATCCGCCTGCCGCATACAACCTCGGCTGTAGCATGTTGGGCTTCGGGGCGACGACGAACCCAAAGGGTCCTAAGTACTTATATGGGGGATACTTTCCCAAACCATAATAGTAATTCCGCATGTGGGAACCCTACTTTCTACCATGTGGGTGGTTGTCAAAATTAGGGTCCTTGCTTGGGACCCTATAAGCATTAGGTGCCGTAGTATATTAAGGACCCCACAACGGGACCGTCATTTTGACAAGCGCCCAAGTAGGTGCTTGGACCCTTTGGGGAAGGAAAACGTCAGGCTTCCGGGTTCGGTTTTGGTGAAACAACCCTAAACCCTGAACCCGAAACCCTGAACTTTAGCCCGAAACTGCTATGCTAAAACCTAAACCCTTAACTTAACTCCTGAACCCCTATGCCACACCCTAAACCCTCGGCTGGCCGTCTAGGGTCTGCGGTCCCTGGCGGCTAAGCCCTACCATTTGGGCACTTGGAACCCCAAGCCGTGAACCCTGTGAACCCTAAGCCCGAAGCTCTGCTGCTTGGGTACTTGAAGCTCTGGACCTGCCAAATTGAGCCAGCCTTCTTCTGACATACGGCTGATGGTCAAAATCCTGCAGTAGCTTAAGGATCCTTGGGAAGTAGGGCATATTCCTTATCATGGGTAATGCAGGATTTATGTCCTCAACCATAGTGACCTTTTGTGTCAGAATAGGATGTGAAGGGGGATATCTATACATACTTACAGTCAGAGCCCTAAGGAACAACATTATAACTCAACCAAGCTTCGAGAGTCCGTCTGTCAGCTTGGATGTGAAAACTAGAACTTCGAACCGACAGAACAGGGCTTGGTGAGGGTGGCCCAAACCCGTAACCCACACCCTTTTTGCCTAAGCCCCAAACCCTAAACCCTATATGCCTATGCCCTACAACTACCCTGATATGTCCTCTCTCTAAGCTGTAAGCGAAGGACACTCGAGTATCGGTCTGAAGTAGTTCCTCTACAGAGTTTAAGGCTTAGGGTATAGGGTTCAGGAAACAGGGTCCGGTGTAAAATCAAAAGCCAGCACGTCTTACCCTCTTAGCCCCGATGCCCAAACTCGAAAACGACACCCCGGTTGCTAAGGCCCTAACACCCTAAACCCTAAAACCCAAAAACCCTAAACACCAAAATCCTAAACCCTAAGCCCTAAACCCTCAACCCTGAAACCCCAAAGCACTGGGCTATATAGAATCTACACTCTTCAGCCGAGATTTCTCAGCTCTTCCTGACAAGACCACATGACCTCCCGACCCGATGCTGTAGTTTTGGATTTAGGCTTTAGAGCTTGGGGTTTTGGAGTTAGGGGATAGGATTAAGGGTTTTTGGATTAAGGGTTTATGGCTGAGGGTTTTGGATTGAGGGTTCAGTTTGGGGGAATAATCAAACAAGTTATCATAATAGTACTAAGGGTGATCGTGATATTATGATCCATGAAGAATAAAGTAGTTTAGGGTTTCGGGTTTAGGCTCATGGTCGGTTACATGCTGCTTTTCCGCGTCGGCCGAATCTTGCAGGATGGCTTGTGCTTTCGCACAGGCGGGGACAAGCAAAGCGAAGCACGGGATATGTCGCGCCGCATCTACCAGCAGCATGGAACCGCAGTCTCGTGCCTGCACCAACTTCAAAACCAAAAAACATCCCCTGCAGGCGAGTTCGGCTCTGCCGAGCAATGAAATTGCAGGGGCCTTCTGCCAGGGGGTGATCCCACCCTTATAAGCTTTGGGTGACAGATTGTGAAGACTTGATCTCAGGACGTTTTCGCCCACCGAATCTGTCCTAGGCTAGGGTGACACAACGTGAGGATAGGCACGTTTTCGCCCACCGAATGAGCCCCAGGGGCTGGATTCAAAAAGTCGTTGGTTTTAGGGTTTTGGGGTTTAGGGTTTACGGTTCAGGGTCGGGCTTACAGGTTGCAAGCCAGAGCTGTACCAGGCGCTTGATGTACTCTGGCCGCAGTCAAATCGAACTTGAACCCCCGAGACTCTTGAGAAGACTTTTGAAGCTTTCACTGCTGGTATGACAGCTGAGGCCTTCAAATTCATGCGAAGGCCTTGAACAAATTAAACTAGGGCCTGGTGGCTTTTTAACAGTGTAGTTTTAAAAGGACGGCGAGGGGATGCTATTACTCATGATGCCTAACCGACCATAGAAACCCACCCTTATAGAAACCCGGTAGAGCCCTAGGCAAACCTAATTTCATCTCGGAAGCTTAGCCGCCTAAACATACCCTACCCTAAACCCTAAACCTTCAATCCAAAAGCCCTACATACATACCTGAATGCGTAAAACCCTACAACCCCCCTGAACCCTAAACCCAGCCCCCCCCCCCTACCCCCCCGCACTACACGTTCATGCCCTCGCTCAGCCACAGCTGCGACGGCGACATGTGCAGACCTTGCGGGTAGTTTAGGGTGTAGAGGCTTAGAGGAATGAGATTGAAGGGTTAATTAGGGTTTCGGGAGGGGTGGGGGGGGGGGTTGGGGTTTAGGGGTTCAGGAAACTTAGAGATCTAGGGTGTGCGGCTTCAGGGTGTTTGCGATTTAGGGGGTTCAGGGGTTTAGACGGTTTAGGGTTTACTCGCCAAGGTCTTTCTGACCAATCTCGTGCTTAGAACATCTTAGGACCCTATAATTCCCCACAAGCTTCGTAAGATGCCACAAGCAACACACGGTAACCACGACAATGAACCCAAAGGAGACTGTCTGGATAGGCTCAGAACTTCTGAGTGTGCAAACGGTGCTGCCCACTGTACTTCCCTAAACGCTAAACCCTTCTCCTTGCTTGTCCAGCTTCTTTGCAACAAGAAGGTTCATCTTCGGAATTTTGGGGACCCCAGAGACTCCAACATCCCTTGATTAAGGAATATACCTTAAGTTATAATAGGATCCCTAATTTGATTTATGGAATATTCCTTAATTAAGGGGTTTTGGAGTCTCTGCGACTACATATCCGGAAAAGATGCACTTAAGTCTACTGCACAGTGCTTTTACGTTGGCCTCTCTAAGGACCGGCTCCAAGGGCTTCTAAGCATGGAGCGGGTTAGGGTTTAGGGTCCATAAGCCATGCAACTTCACGTCTTTTGGGTGCGCCATAACCCAGAGACTCCAAAACCCCTTAATTAAGGAACATGCCTTAAATCATATCCGGTTTCATATTCTACTTTACGGTATATTCCTTGATTCAGGCTTAAGGGATATTGGAGTCTGAGGGAATGTAGGGGGAATGTAGCAACACACTGAAGAAATCCGACAGTCCGAATCCTGACGTGTCTCCAACAAGCATTCATGTCCGTAAGAAACCCCAAGCCACAACCCCTAAACCCCGACGATCCATAAAATCAGATATCCACTATAACCCCTGAATCCTACAGAGCGTCCTAGTAAGCCGCAAACGCGGTAAACCCGACGCTGTGGGCCTTGCGGCCCGGAGTGAGGAAGAGCTGCAGCAGCCCCGGTCCAATCCACCGCAGAGACGCGACCCGGCGCATGCCCAAACAAGCAAATCCCAAGCTCAGGGTGAAGGCGATCCTGGGTCAGGTCTTCTTTAGGGTTTAGGGGTTTAGGGTTTAGGGTCTTCCAAAGTCAAGGTTTATAGGGTTTCCTGAAAGGTTTAGGCTTTAGGGTCTTCCAAAGTTAAGGTTTAGGGTTTCCTTGACTGAAGGTTTGTTGACCGACGATGGCGGACCTTTAGTGGAACATCCTTACTCCTCAAAGGCCTAGAGCCCTTATAACCATTTTATCTGCATGATTTTAATCCCTCGGAGCTTGATTGCCTTAACCTACCAAAACCTGCTTTTTTGTAGGGTCCCTATAAATTCCATAATGGGGTTTATAATAAGAACTTTAAAAGGTAGGTTATGGTAGCTTAGGGTATAGTAAAAACACGCTTCCCAAGGCCTGAATAGTGTGATCCCCGCTGTGCTCCCCAGACAATCGTTTCCATGCTCGAGGAATGAAGAAACCACAGCTGAAGACGGGGACCATCAATAATGCGAGTGGGTATATTATTCTAGTTCACTCTGATGTGAAGTATATGGTGATATGCATTACTAAGCATTCAGACCTCTCGCCTAAACCCTATACCCTCTGGCCTAAAGGCCAAAGAAACTGAGCGTCGTGATCAAAGCGGACCAAACTGCTCGTCCTTCCCCACTCTGCCCAGCCCTTGGTTCGCAAGTAGCACCTAAAAAAAAGCAATGGAGGCGCCTCAGAGGTTTTGGGTTATCACTGTATCATCATACTAAGGAGTATTACCTGTTGCCGACTAGTCCAAATTTTCGTCTGGAAACCTGAATCTACAAGAAACCCCAAACCCTGAGCCCTAAACCTTGAAGCCCAAACCCCCAACCCTAAATGCTAAACCCTAAGCCCTAAACCTTGAACCCTAAACCCTCAACCCTAAATGCTAAACCCGATGCCCGAAACCCTGAGCCCCAAACCGATACTACTGCAGGATGGGGCAACCCATCTGGAGCACGAAGTTGCAGGAGGACGATGGTTGGGCCTGGACCGTTTAGGATTTAGGGTTTAGGAATTTAGGGTTTAGGATTTAGGGTTTATATAGGGTTTAGGAGCCACCGAGCCCTGAACCCGAAACCCTCAACAAAAAGGCCGTAGAGCCCTGAACCCAACACCCTCGACGTGCCGTAAACCCATCTGCAGACCCAAAATCAGGCCTTGAAAGAGCATACGGAAGCAGATCAAAACGATGAACTCGTGAATTTCTCATATATTTGGTAGTCAATTGTTCTTGAAACAAATCTGAACCTGCAAGCCCAAAACCCGGAAGCCCTACACCCTGAAAGCTCCACCCTCAACATCCCCAAACCCTCTAAACCCTGCAAACCCTGCCGAAGCCCTGAACCCGAAAACACCGCAAACATGAAACCCTAGACCAAGGTTTTCGTGGTTCATCAGGTTGATGAAAATCCAAGGGACAACACAACAGGAGGAAGAACGTCGTCATCTTTGTCGTCCTCGGGTTTGGAGTCCTACGGTTTGGGGATTAGGGTTTCTAGGGGACCCAAAAAGCACACAAACATAAGAATTTTAGAGGGATATCCCTACCCTATTGGGCTTCATTGTAAGGTTTTTATATGGGATATCCCTAGCCTAGTTTTTGCTTATGTGCCTTTTTTTGGGCCCTAGTTCAGGTTTAGGGTCTACGGTCCCGGACTTGGGGGTCATAATTTGTGGGCTTTGGAGGTTTAGGGGCCCAGGATGCCTTTAGCGACTTAGGTTCCCGGCTTTCTACTTCTTTTCAATCTAAGTGAAAAGAGACCCCAACATGAGAATGGCAAAGGAATACGATCGGAGAGCCGAGCATCATCTTCAAGATGAAGCATCTATCTTCCCGCGGACTGCGACAGAGAACGAAGAGCAAAACAGCCCGAGCCAACAGTGATGCACATTGTTCAAGCAAGATGTACCAGGCTGCGTGAAGGTAACGGAGATCAAAGTAAATTCGACTGAGGGTAACGAAGCTTGTCGCGAAAACGAAGCCTGGAAGAGCTATCTCAGAATGGCCTGCCCCAGAAATGTCTACGCCGGCGCGCGCGACTTCCCTGAGAGTCTCAGACGACATCCCGGCAGCCAAGAGCACATGGATCGCAGAATCCACGGCAGCAGTCTTATCTCCCACTTCAGCATGGATTCGTGCGGCATCCTCGGCAACGGAACAAGTTGCATGGATAACACTGCCCTGAAATCCAGAGCCCAGTTGTGCTGCTTCCTGCTCTCGCGCTCTGCCATTCTCCCGATCGACCTCTAAGCATAGAAAGAGAGTCAGACCAATGATCCAGCAAATGCGCTGAACAGTGCTTCCAAGACTGTCGAAGCATATGCTTGTGTGGCAGACTGGGTGCCACAGCACGATCAGACAGCCACACATGAAGGCACCTGACCTGTTCAAGATCATGCGGCACTGGTATTGGTTCAGACTGATGCTGGCGAACATGCACACAAAGGCGAGGCAAACAGGGATGATGTTCATGGTTGGCCGATGCAAGCTGTTCATGTAGACGCCCACCGCAATACCCAAGAGTCCTGGCAAAGCTCGGAAGATACCATGAAATCTTGCGTTCTCATTGGAACTCGTCCGCCACCCGACTTCGCTAGTGTCGATTCGCGTTGCAAGCCCACGTGAGTGCAAGCTGCTTTTCAAAGACAACCCCAAACGACCCCAAGCACCCATGTTTAATCCCTCCATTTGGAGATACTTACACACGCAACTCCTAGGGGCCTAGGGACCCTTGTCCTGTACTAATTATAGGGGTAGGTTTGGGGGTTTAGTATGGTGTTTAGTGTGCGAATGTTGGCATTTGCCCATGCGCGTAGATGACTGCATTTCAAAAAAGGCCGTTTGTCGGTCAAAAAATGCATTGCAGAATCTGCTGATCATTAAATCTAAGGTGTCCTGATCATCTTTGGGCGCACCTGTCAATTTCACATGGTTAGGTCTGCAGGTCTAGGGTTAAGGCCCCTGAACTCAAACCCCTAACCGATCCTAGCATGGCCGTCGCCACCAGGGTTCGCGAGAGCTGTCGTCCTTGGGCACCAACATCTTTAAGGTGCAGGGCATGGGGCTAGAGCTTAGGGAACCTTGGTATCTTGAAGCCTTCGAGCTTTAGAACGGAGGTCTCGACCCGAAACCCCGATTAAAACCGTACAAATTAAACGCAAAATTTAGGAGAGCCGAACGGAGGTCCTACGGTTGATGATATAAACCCTGCATTACCCATAACAAGTAATATACCAGAATTCCCATGGTTTAGGATCCTTCATTTTTGACCATCAACAGTAGAACCCAAGCTCCCCAAAAAGACTCCGAAACCCCTGAATTAAGGAATATACCTCAGATCATATTCGGGATCTTAACATACCTTGGGATCTGAATATACCTTACATCATATTAGGGATCTTATCATAATTTAAGGTATACTCCTTAATTAAAGGATGTTGTAGTCTCTGGGCCCCAGCAGAGAAGAGAAGGCGCAGAGGATCAGGGCTCGTTTTCATGAGCTTTCAGGTTTCTTCTTGGAGGTTAAGAGTTTTGCGTTGGGGGGTTTTGGGCTTATTTTTTTCTAAAGGTGCATCGGCCTTTCACTCCGCCAGTTCAGGGTTTAGGGTTTGGGGTTTACGGGTTTGGGGATTTAGGGGTAAAGGGTTTGGTTCTCTTAGCTTTTGGGCGCCAGCATCTGTTCGATGCGCGTGCGATGATGATCGTCTTGCCCTCTTCATGGGCACGGTAGGCTTCGTACACACACCACAACCTGGATTCTTCAAAAGTTCCTGGTTTAGGGTTCAGGGTTTAGGGTTTCCACCTGGCTCTTTCTCCCTCCAGGCCGTGTGTAGATGCTGCAGTGCCGGTTGGGTACCACGAGCACGCAGGACGAGGCCTGCAAAGCCAAGGCAAAAGGCGAGCTGCCTGGAGCTTGCAGCAGGGCGCCGATGTTCAGGTTCTGAGGGTTCGCCAGCATGCAGCACCATGCGTGGAGCGCGGTCGTAGGCCAGGAATGCAGAACCTTCGAAATGAACTCGAAGATGCCCTCCTGCCAGGCGTGGCTGATGAAGAGGTGACACTCCAAGCCATCCGGGTGCATCATCAGTGCCCAGCTCACCTTGCCCACACGGTCTGTCACGGGCATGATATGTTGCGTGTTGACAGTGTAGACACTGGGCCCGAAGACCCTGTCAGAGGTCTCGAAATCATCTTTGCCATCACCTGGTGGCCGTATCTCGCCTTTCTGGATTGCTTTCTGCACCTCCTGACGCAAGTACTTCAAGTCCGCACGAGTGATGCACCAGCGATCTGGGGGAACACACTCATGCAACTTCACTGCCTCCGATAGCGTGTATATCGACGAACTTCTGGACAATGTGGATGAACTGCGGGAATGCATGGGCCGCGTGGGCCGACCCACTTCAGCTTGCAGCGGCTTCTCCTATGGTAACACAGGGTGCTGTCACGGAGTCTTAGACCCGACAGGTCCTGCCCTAAGTGGCTTTTGAACCGAAGGCCGATACCGCAGGGATCATGCAGCCACTGACCACCATGGTTGAGGGTTTAGGCTCTAGGGTAAACCTCTATTTTCGGATCTTCGCGCTGCAATGCTGGACTCTCCTCTTCCCAGAGAGCCCAATGCCCCTTAATTCAGGATCGTACCTCAGACTAGAAGGGGCTCAATATATATATATATACATATACACACACATACATACATACATACATACATACATACATACATACATACATACATACATTACACACATACACACACACACATACATACATACATACATACATACATACATACATACATACATAACGTAAGGTAGATTCCTTAATCAAAGGGTACTCAGAGACTCCAACAACCCTTAATTAAGGAATCCGCCTTAAACTATAACAGGACCCCTAATATGATTTAAAGTCTATTCCTGAATTAAGGACTCCGCCTTAAACTATAATAGGACCCTAATATGATTTAAAGTCTATACCTGAATTAAGGGGTCTTGGAGTCTCTGGGTATTGTGCTCTCTGGGCTGATGCCGTTGGGTCGCAGGTACCCGCCGTGCGCCGGTGCCTGGAGGCCAGGGCGCGCAAGCCAAGCGATGATGATAGTAAAAGCAAAGAATACCCAGGGGCTCCAAAGTAGTTCCTTTTTGGGTAGTGTATTAGAGTCCCTAACCAAAAAAGAGGACACACCCAAAAGGGAACTACTTTGGAGCCCCTGGGTGAGGATAATGGTCTATACTAATAGTTATGATAATAAGGGGTCAAGTCATAATGATAATAATCTGTACTGATAGTTATGATCATAGGGAGTAATTTACAATAATGATAATAATCTATACTAGTGGTTATAATAATATGGAGTAAAAAAACCAATAATGACAACAAGACTAATAAATACTAACAATTGCAGCTTGGGGCTCCCACTTGTCGCGAGTTTGGGGTTTGTCCTAAGGATCCAAAGACCCACTAATTAGTCGGTTGGTTTAGGATAAAAGTTTTGTAGGTTGTCCAAAGGCGTCTGTGTTCTCTGGCTCAAGATCTGCGTACAGGCGATTCAGGTTAGCCTCAGAATGCAGCTTAGCAGTTTTCAGAATGTATGTGAAACTAGCTCGGCCTTGCCGGAGCCCCTTTCCAAGGTTATCCGGCAAAGGCCGAATAAACACATCTGTGCTAAGACTTTACATCTCATGCACAACAGTGCAACTATGAACACTGGCGGTCCAAGCTTCCTCTCTGCTGCAGTTACGCATGTATTCCTAGAGGCTGACCAACTCCAAGCCCTGGCATGGCCTCTCTGAACCTGACCCAGTACATGATTAGGCAGTGCTCATCCCCTGCAATACGCAATAGAGGAAGTCTGCTTCTCTGGCCCCGATGCCCAAGCCTCAGCTTCAGCTTCCCCGCCGTCTGCAAGCGACATAGCTTCCTTCTGCACTCATAGACAATCCAAACCCAGAGGCTATATCCTGCCATGTAAGCCATGTCTGACCACGCAGCCCCACCAATCTACGATAAGACGTAAGATGCATCAAGGCCCTCAACGAACGGAAGTAGAGCCAAATGGCTGCAAACCAGCTGCGGTGGGATCCTGAAATAAATTCCATGGGCTTGTGAGCTCGCCCGCTGCCCTGAAATCGTGCGCCTGAACCTGTCTGAAAGCGCGGAGGGTTGTCTGCACCATCACGCTCCCCAAGAAGAACGTCCAAGCAGCAGCAAAAGTCAAACCTCCATGGAAAGACCGGCTAGACAAACGACAAGTAGTTGAAAGCAGCTGATCCTGACGACAATAAACAGGCAAGGTGGACAAGAAACTTGTACCAACGACCACGGAAAACTTAACCGAGCAGTAAGCAAGTGGGTGCAAAGTCTGCCTGCCTGAGTGGCGTTCGTAAAAGGACAGCCTTTCAATCTAATTTGCCTTGCATGTGCCTGTTTTTGCGGCAGCTGCTGTTAGACGATCTAGAATAGTGCAACACTGGCTTGGCGACTTAATCTGAAATCCAGATATTCTGAATCATGCAATATTGCGACTTGGAAATCTGAACTGGCATAGTTGATTTTTCCGTTGCGGACACGCAATTTTCCTGGTAGCACTGACCGGAGCACATCAAAGCAAGGAGGGTGCCGACAGGCCTTGCCAGTGTTAAGCTTTATAACATATGGCTCAAGGCCCGCTAAGCAAACGACAGCTGTTGAATCATTATTTCAACAATAGCGCCTGTTGCTATTTTCAGCACCCCCTTGTGGTGCAAAGGGCCGTGCACCAGGAAAAGCAAGGCAAAGCGCCTTAGGTTGAGGGCTGCAGGAGCCGCGTATTCTTACAAAATACTTGAGCAAGAAATACCTAGGCTGATGGCTGACGATTGTAGCTGCCTACCTGGGACCTAATTAGAGAGCGTGCCTTTGCCTTTGGCGGTGAAACGGCTCGAGACGAGTGAGGTGGCATGGTGACGCGCGCCTATATAAGTGGTTTTCGTCATGGAGTCATGGACGTATGCCAGGCACAATACACCAAACAGCAGCCGCATAAAGCCTTTAACAAGAAAAGTCTGTAGGCTGGGTCCGTCGGACTTACTATAATCGTGGACCAAGTGGCCGTGTCAAAGTTTTTTCGGGCTTGTAACTCGAGAGGAATCATGTCAGATTGCTTTGGACTCCATCGCGTTGCTACATGAGCTAAAGTCTAAACTCCTGGTATCCCCCTCAAATAAACCCTAAAATAGTCTCCTATTCAATCCCCTATATAACCCCCTTTGAATTCGAGAGTTTCGACTATAGCTCACATGAATGGCATTCAGTCACTGATGCCTGCCGAGCATGAATGCATGTCCACTGCCACCTCGCTCGAGGTGACACATTGGTTTTTCAGTGTTTTCAGATTGGTGCAGCAATGTCTGTCTCCGCAATATGATGAGCTTGATCAGCTTGGCAGATTTGTCTCGTTCCTGCTACCTTCTGTTGATGTGTGAGAACTCTTGTTGCTGAATGTTTACCTTGAGTTGGTGAAACTGCCCAGAAAGTCTCAGCCGTAAAGCTTCAGCATTAGGAAATAGATGATGATCACCATGCCCAAGACCTGAACACAGAGATGCAAAGGCCGCAGGGCACACTTGAGGATGTTGATAGGGGGGGGGTGTGGTTCAAGGGAGTGAGTACTCTTAGTGTTCCCCCATATTCCTTAGTGCTCCCTAGTACTTCCCGAGGTTTGGACGCACCCCCTTAACAACATGGTAAACACGATTAAGCCCCGGGAATGCCCAAAAACAGCCAGCTACCTCCAGGCCGCAGCTCCGGCAGATTTGTCATACTGAAGCCCTCATGGTGAGCTCCACAAAGCTAGCAGCCCTTCACACATGGTAGTTTCCCAAAATTAGGGTATTCCAATATAGATCCCAATATACTATGGTCCTTATTATCAGGACCCCCAAGAAAGTACCCCAAATCTTGGGAAACCCCCACACATGGCTACACAAAACCGCAAGGCAAGCCCCCAACTTTTTGAGGCGGCAAGGGCCCCGGGTTCAGCGGTTCAGGAATTTCAGGTTCATTGCAGGTGTGTCATGCGAAGAAAGCGGCTCTGGACGAATTGAGTGACTGTTCTGGAGGGGGCACGTGATAGTTCATCAGCACCATGCATCAAGCTCAGGTACCGACGCTCCCAGAGACAGCTCCCACCACCTGATCAAACAATCAGTACAAAGAATCATGGTAGTGTGTGAGCACACATGATACGAATATCACGTCATAGTACTCGGGATGGCTTTGCTGGTCCCATACTGAATAGATTTATACACAAAAGACAATTGCAGCAAGTTGCTGCATGCTGCAAAACAAACAAGAAATTGCACCGAAGGGTTAAATCCACAGGCTGCGTATATAGATGCTCAGAACCCTCTTCCATGCTAGCACCCCTTGTCGCTAATATCAGCAATGACCCCAGCAAATCCTGCTTCAAGTCCAAAATGGTAACGGAAAACTGTCTGTCCAAGACCAGAAGGTGTTGAGTTTCCACCTGCCCAAAATAAGCCCGAATGAAGGAACCCCCCATAATCCAATTTCAGTCTCCGTATATCCCTTAAGTTCCTAGCGAGCCCTCTTCTTGAGAAACTCTCAGTGTCCTGAGTCTCCAGCCCTGAGCGTCCTGTCTGAAGCTGCTTGCCGAATGACCTGCCGTTGCTGCATACCCTGAAGTCTGAGAAGTATGGACCTTCCGCCTTGACGAATGTATAGGAGCACACAAAACCTCCAAAACGATCCGGCATATACTCCCAGAAAAGGCATTGTTAGACGTCAACAATCTGAATCAGGCAAGCCCCAAAGTCCTTGCGATTCCCAAAGCTGCCTCCTGTTGGCAAGGCCACCATCTATTTGTGGGAGACTTATGAGGCCCCAGCTTTTGGACCTCTTCTGGACCACAACGATTGAAGTCTCACTTCAAATCTCAAGCTTAGCCTTAACAAGCACGGACAGACCCAACGAGTCCTCAAGGGCAAAAGCGTGCCTCGCGATTAGCCTTCTTCCTCGCCTTACTTCCGCTACCGTTATCTATATACTGCATGACATCATGCAGTCCTGAATGTGCAGCACCTTGGAAGATCCCACGAAAATTGTCATGCTCGAAAAACCAGGCTCTCTCTTCTTCTTCTATAGGCT